AGGGTCCATAGCTTAGCGGTAGAACATTTGACTACAGATCAAGAGGTCATCGGTTCAAACCTGGTTGTCCCTTCTATGCACTTATATTTAAGAGCATTTTATTTTATGTTTTTGTTTCCTTAAAAAAAAAAAAAGATCAACATTTAAATTGGTGCTCCGAAAGAACTTTCTTCAATACTTGGTAATTAGAAAAATGAAAAATGACAATGAAAATGTAAATTCAAAGCAACTTATCTATACTATATTTTAAAGTTGATTTGTGAGTGATTCGTGGGTAGTGTCGGACATTTTCCTGTAAACAACAGATTGAATAGACCCATTATTATTAAAAGCTAACCAGATGTAGATATCACACATTTGCATATCAGCAATGGAATTTCTTAATTTTATGATCCCATTGAGCTAAATAATTCTCGCGTACGTGCAGAATTATATATTTGCCACAGCCACGCCCATGAATAACTGTCTCCTTTATTTCTCTTCACCGCACGAGGACACGTGGCGGTTCGGGATCACGTTTGACCTTTAGTAACATGAGCACATGTATATAAGCCTAGCGAAGCCTGTGCCGTCGGTAACTTTGTCTTCCTTTTCATTCCTACTATTAAATAATAATCCTAATTTTTTTTTTTTCTATTGGTATACTGATTTGCTCGTTGGAGGGTCACTGAAGACACCAACTCCTGCGTATTTGAGGCCTTGATCTTACTACCCCTTTCTTTCTCAAGAAACTTGTTCTTAGATCAAATTTGAACATCATCTGAAATCAATAGCACATATAATACCCTTTTTTCTAAGCATAGAGAAATTTTACTATTAATTTAAGAGAGAACTAAGTAAAACACAAGGATTAAACAGATTATGGGAGACCACATCACTACCTTGAGCATAAATCTGGCACGTAAACATGTGCAATACTTGAATTCAAGTATTACTACTTAGCCGCTATGGTCGCTTGGTAAGATAAAACATACGCCTTAGCACGTAGCGGTTGAACCTGAGCTTCGGCCCCAGTACATTCAAGATGAGATGCCCTACGCATAATTAACTATGCGGTTTTGAGGGAAATGCTCCCCGACGAATAAATGAAATACGCAACTAATAATATGCATATCTGTTTTATTGACAAAAAAAATACGAGAACCTACATCCGATAAGCCATCCCCAGCCAAGACATGAGTAACACAACAGTGCTGAATATGTTTCTCCTAACACATAAATTAGATTAGTCATTTCAAATACGACTTTGGAGTTAATTAAGTAAAATATTGAAAAACTATCATTAATGCATTTAACTAGTGGAGTTTGTTTGATATTAATTCAACTAGTGATGTGCCGGCCCTTCGGCCGGAGGAAGTAAGAGGAATTAAAAGTGGGGTCACTTAGTTCTAGTGAGTTATAAAGAATTGATTAGAATATCTATAACTAATGCTATTAGATTTTCAGGCAATTGACCTTACACATATATAAAGATACCTTAGAAACCCTATTTTAAAAGTCAATTTCTTTTTCTTGTTTTTTTTTATAGGCAAAGAAATTATATTAGAAACTAGAAAATAGGTACATTGAGAAGGATAGGGCAAGTATCATTGAAAGAAAAATTTCTACCGCATCTCACGACCAAACTCGACCAAATTCGTAATAGCTCTGATTATTTGATTCCACAAATTACAAGTTTTAGCTCTGATGATGTTTTCAATGCCACCGCGAAACCAAATTCGTGAAATGATCACCATAGGCCCACCAGTTGAAACTATTTAAATACCCGCCGGCTTGAAAATTGAATTTACAACATGAATAGGTCGCTTACTATGATTTAGTTCAAGTTTTGGCATCCCAAAACATGCAACCAGTAATTTAGTGAGAATTGTGATGAGCATCAATTAAAGAAAATGAAGGGGGAGAAGCACACGACGAGGATCAACTGAATTTGGTTTTTGAAGTGATTCACACCTACCAGAGAGTTTCTAGAAGGTATATCCGCGAAATGCTACCCATAACCCATAGGCTGGACAATTCAACTCATAAAGCAGTAACCCATAGGCAATGGCGGAGTCAGGATTTTGAACTCAGGGGGCCGGTTTAATAGACATATATTTATTATGTCATAAGGTTTTAATTTTTACATTTATACATTGAAATGATTGTAGCCTATTGCAGTTATAGTATACCAATCATATTTATTTCTTTAGGCTACTTCAACTATCACGTACTTATCTTTTATTTATAAAAGAAATTGAGAAATAAGAATGCAAAATAACCAATTTTTTTTTTATCAAATCAAACTAAAATTATTAAGATTATAATTAATTACACACAAATAATTATCAATAATATTCATATTCAGGTATATAGAAAACAATTTTTTTTTTTGCATAAACTGTTGTGGTTTCTAGAAGCAATAGATATTTCTGAACACCATTCCCAGAATTTTTAGAGTCGTCACTGGTCATGTGCATTTATCCAATGGTTGTCAAGCTATTAGTATTTGTGTGTGGGATAGTGAAGTCTAAGAGAGGAACGAATGCCAACTATCAAGAGGGGACCAATCTAAGGAGGCCTCACAAGTCCAATATTTGAGAGGAGACCAGGGTTGGCTTAGAGGATAGGCGAAAAAACATGCACTTCGGGCTCTCAAAAAAAAGTTAAAAATGTGGGAGAGAGGAACGGAAAAAGAAAGAAAGAGACTACACCGTACATGGAGTAAATTGAATTTGAGGTGAAACTGTGAAAGCAAACACGATATTGAACATATACTCCCTCTATCCGGATTTGATTGTTCCTTATTCAATTCTAATCGGATAAAAAATGAGTTATATCTTTAAATTGATAATGAATTTTGTATCCAATATGGATCTTGTCTGATGGATCTCAATTACATATACTATAAGACAATATTTTCAAAATTACATAAAATATTATAAATTATACGTAACATATAATCGATTGAAAAATAACAAAAACTCTCAAAAAATATTTTTAAATCCGGACGGAGAGGGTGTATGGGCGCATCATGCACACTGCAGCATCACTCAATTTGGCGGTTATTCTCATTGGGTCTAGATCTACAAGCAGCAACAATGACATCTAGAAAGTACTTTCAACGCCTAGGACTAGTAGTAGCCATACAACCTTAAAATAGGGGTAGCTTTTACTCCATCATGGAGTAGTATAGTTTAATAGGAATAGAGTGCCTAGCAGTCATAGGAGTATTTTCCACTTTACCAAAAAAAAAAAAAAAAAAGAAGTATTTTCCAGCTAATAACACTTGTTCTTGATCACTTTTGATTACTCTGTTACTACATAAGTATATAACCAAACACAAAAAAAAAAAAAAAAAAAAAACTTTTTCGTTTGGTAACTTTCGGTATTTTAGTTTTGGTAGTAGGTGGAGAGAAAAATAAGATAATGATTGGAGAGAGTGGTAATAAGTGGAGAGAGATAGAGAGAGAAATGAAATTAATAATTGAAGAAATAAGGTAATGATTGGAGAAAGATATAGGGTAATGATTAAAAACAAAGTAAAACATCAAAACGAGCAAGGCACTTACTTGCAATAGAGGTGGGTTTCACGCAATAAGGATGGGTTTGGATTTAAAAGTTGATGTAACTTATGTTTTTTTTTCCCTTATTCAAAAACAATTTGCAATTTTTTGTTTTGATTCATTATTTTGTGACTTATTGATTCGTCTCAACGAGAGGAGACGAATCAAAAATTTAAAAATTTTTTGATCGAAACTCATAATTTTTTAAATGAAGACAAAAATTAGTCAATAAGACAACTTTTTTTTTTTTAACTTCTCTTCATCTTTTTTAAAAAAATTATGAGTTTTGATCAAATTGTTTTACTTTTTCGATTCTTCTCACTGAGACGAATCAATAAGTCACAAAAGTTTGAAACAAAACTAACGAATGCGATTTTTTTTTTGAAAAAAAACAAAAAAGAAATTACTGCTCCACTTTTTAATCCAAATCACCCCTTAATTAGTATACAACTTATTGTGGGTCCCACGTTGTTCTTATCCAGTGGGATGGGACCTGCCCCTATTGAGAGTGAATGTGTGTAATTTTGTTTGGTTTTGAATTTTTTTAAATGTAATAAGTGGAAAGAGATAGATAAAAATCTATGGTGGGTCGGTAAAAGTTAAATAGCAAAACACTACACTGTTTTTGGTTTGCAGTTTTAAAGTTTATTTTTGAGATAAAAAAGTTTTATAGGTTTGCGTATTTTTTCGTCTTTAGTAAATTTTTTTAACATTTTAATAATTTTTTTTACTTTTTGAATAGAGGTAAGCTATGTACATCCGAAAAATATAAAATAAGTAAAAATTTTGAAAAAAAAAAAGTAAAGACGAAAAAATATGGATGACAAAAGAGTCAAAAATTTTGGAGACATTATTTCTGAGAGGAGAACCAAACAAAGTTAATTTTAGAAATTCTCTGGAGCAAAGTCGTCATTTACGAACCGGTCAGCATACTGTTTTCACTATTCGAATGGTACGTACCGGTTCCGGTTTGTATCTCGGTACCGTTCTAGATTTACCACAATTAATAGTTAATTTAAATATATTCAATGTATGTCTACCTGGTTGCAAAATTTGAAGTACAAACAAAAACAAAATGTAAGCAAGACTTCCAAACAATAAACCAAGTTTAAACCATTTTCGTGAAACAAAAGGCAGCAAAAGGTTATACAAAAATACTCAAAAACAAAGTTGTGAAATAGATCAGGACATTGAACATAGTTATTAGGTCCCGTTTCAGAACACTTTCTTAAAAAATAAATATTTATTTCACATTTTCAAACTCAAAAATAATGTAAATAAAAAATTACTCCCTCCGTCCCATAATGGATGTCAATTTTTGATATCCGTGTCAATTTCAACTCTTTATATCTTTTAATATAGATCTCAAAAATATGCAATATGGATCTTGTTTGATAGTTCTCGATTAAATCTATTATACAAAATTTTCAAACTCATGAAAAATATTATAGATTGAAAGATATAAGCGATGAAAAATGACACGGATTTCAAAAATTGTCGTTCTTTTTGGGACGGAAGGTGTATTATT